ATACCAAACCACCTGACCTGCCTCCTGAGAAATCTGTATGAAGGTCAAGAAGCAACAGTAAAAACTGGATATGGAACAACGCACTAATTCCAAATTGGGAAAGGAATACGTCAAGGCTACATATTGTCACCTTCCTTATTTAACTTATATGCAAAGTACATCATGCAAAATGCCCATCACAAGCTTGAATCAAGATTGCTGGGAGAAATATCAATAACCTCAGACACGCAGATGACACCACCCTTATGGCAGAAAGCGAAGAGGAACTAAAAAGCCTCTTGATGAAAGTGAAAGAGAACAGTGAAAAAGCTGGCTTAAAACTCAGCATTCAAAAAACGAAGATCATGGCATCTGGTACCATCACTTCATGACGAATAGTTGGGGAAACAATGGAAGCAGTGACAGACTATTTTCTTGGGCTCCAGAATCACTACAGATGGTGACTGCAGCCATGAAATTAAAAGATACTTGCTCCTTGGAAGAAAAGCTATGGCCAACCTAGATAGCATATTAAAAAGCAGAGACATTACTTTACCGACAAAGGTCCATCTAGTCAAAGCTATGGTTTTCCAGTAGTCATATACGGATGTGAGAGTTGGACCATAAAGAAGGCTGAGTGCCAAAGAACTGATGCTTTCAAATTGTGGTGCTGGAGAAGACTCTTGAGAGTCCCTTGGATTGCAAGGAGATCAAACCAGTCAATCATAAAGGAAATCAATCCTGAATACTCATTGGAAGGACTGATGCTGAAGCTGAAACTCCAATACTTTGGCCACCTGATGTGAAGAACTGACTCACTGGCAAAGACCCTGATGCTGGGAAAGAGTGAAGGCAGGAGGAGAAAAGGACGACAGAGGATGAGATGGTTGGATGGTATCACCGGCTCAACAGACATGAGTTTGAGCAAGCTCCAGGAGTTGGTGATGGATAGGAAAGCCTGGTGTGCTGCAGTCCGTGGGATCACAAAGAGTCAAACACAACTGAGTGACTGAACTGAACTGAACTGTGTGGGAAACATCTTTAGTATCTTGGGTGAATAGGGTTGACCTTAAAGTCGATCTGGGCAGAAATCTAATCAAAAGAGGTTATATTCATGGTCAATAGGCGGTAGAAATACTTCCCAGCTAAAGAAGTTTGTCTCTTCACCTGACTGTTCAGTTCACGTACTTTTCATTTCATTATAAATTCATTATTAAAGAATGTTATCCAGGAGGCCAGAAGGAATGTACTGGTCTATTTAAAGGAAATCTGAAGTTCATTTGAATATTAAAATGACTGGGAGACAGTATTGCTTACTGTCTCTTAATAAAATATATCTACTCTGTAACAAGTACCAAAACTGCAGGACTTATAAGTTCATCACTTAATGTTGTTAGCACAAATAAAGATTTGGATGGGATTTCCCTGGTGGTCTAGTGGTTGAGAATCTGGTTTACAATGCCGGGAATTCAGATTCAATCCCTGATTGCAGAACTAAAATCCTACATACTGGGATACAATCAAGCCCAGGCATTGCAACTATTGAACCTGAGAACTCTGGAGCCCACAAACCCAACTAGAGAGTCCTTGCAGCTCAATGAAGGTTCCCATGTGATGCAATGAGGATACCATGTGCTGCAACTAAGACCCAAGGCAGCCAAGTAAACAAATCTTTAAAAATAAAAAAGACAGTAGGTAGGGCACAAGAGAGAACACCTTGGTGCATTGTAGAGAGAAAAGTGTAACTGTAACTGATCTGACTTCTCAGTTGATTGGTTTCTGGTTTTATTATCTCCAATTGGTATATCCCTATAGTTATAATGTGCTTCTAATATTTTTTTACTTCTGAATTTAATATAAGTGTGTTAAATTATATCCAATAGCCAATAAAATATCATTGGATTATTTCTTTCTTTTTAATAAATCCCCTTTGTATGTATTAAATTATGGCTTGCCCATAATTTAATGGGCAAGTCAATGAAATTTAGCAGGGCTTCTTCGATAAGGAGTAACTGACCTAGATCTTGAGAAAGAAAGCAGACAAGTATAAAAATATTATACTAGATTATGGGGAATGGAAGGATTAAGAGAACCTAGGCTTTAGATTTGGACAGACCTGTGATGGAGAAGTTAAAAAGTTGGAGCTTTGGAAAGATTAGAGATTTGGTCTTAAGCATTCAAGATGAGATGAAATGTGATAGTGAATATCAAATAAGAAGAGAAAAATTGGGGAAAAGAGGGATTCAAGAGGCAGGGACTGGGTAGAAAGTGAACTGAAATCAAAGATGACATAAACAGATGGCTAGATAGTCCATGTTCCTGGCAGGAAGAATCAATATTGTGAAAATGAATATACTACCAAATGCAGTCTACAGATTCAATGCAATCCCTATCAAATTACCAATGACATTTTTCACAGAACTAGAACGAAAATTTCACAATTCATATGGAAACACAAAAGACTGCAAATAGCCAAAGCAATCTTGAGAAAGAAGAATGGAGCTGGAGGAATCAGCTTTCCTGACCTCAGACTATATGACAAAGCTACAGTCAAGACAGTATGGTACTGGCACAAAAAGAGAAATATAGACCAATGGAACAAGATAGAGAGCCCAGAGATAAACCCACACACCTATGGGTACCTTATTTTTGACAAAGGAGGCAAGAATATATAATGGGGAAAGACAGCCTCTTCAATAAATGGTGCTGGGAAAACTAGACAGCTAGATGCAAAAGATTGAAATTAGAACACTTCTTAACACCACACACAAATATAAACTCAAAATGGATTAAAGACCTAAATGTAAGACCAGAAACTATAAAAACGCTAGAGAAAAACATAGGCAGAACACTCAGTGACGTAAATCAAAGCTAGATCTTCTATGATCCACCTCCTAGAGTTATGGAAATAAAAAAAATAAATAAACAAGTGGGACCTAATTAAACTTAAAAGCTTTTTCACAGCAAAGGAAACTACAAACAAGGTGAAAAGACAACCCTCAGAATGGAAGAAAATAATAAAGGAAACAACTGACAAAGAATTAATTTCCAAAATATACAAGCAGCTCATACAACTCAATACCAGAAAAATAAACAACCCAATCAAAAAGTGGGAAAAAGATCTAAACAGACATTTCTCCAAAGAAGACATACAGATGGCTAACAAACACATGAAAAGATGCTCAACATCACTCGTTATTAGAGAATTGCAAATCAAAATTACAATGAGATACCACTTCACACCAATCAGAATGGCCATCATCAAAAAGTCTACAAACAGTCAATGCTGGAGAAACTGAGGAGAAAAGGGAACCCTCTTGCATTGCTGGTAGGAATGTAAATTGATACAGTCACTATGGAAGACTGTATGGAGATTCCTTATGACTCAGCAATCCCACTACTAGACATATACCCTGGGGAAACCAAAATTGAAAATGACACATGAACCCCAGTGTTCACTGCAGCACTATCTACAATAGCTAAAACAAGCAAGCAACCTAGATGTCCATCAACAGATGAATGGATAAAGAAGCTGTGGTTCATATCTACAATGGAATACTACTCAGCCATAAAAAGGAACACATTTGAGTCAGTTCTAATGAAGTGAACGAATAGAGCCTATTATACAGAGTGAAGTAAGTCAGAAAGAGAAATATAAGTATCAGGTACTGATGCATATATATGGAATCTAGAAAGATGGTACTGATGAATGTATTTGCAGGGCAGCAAAGGAGAAACAGACATCCAGAACAGACCTGTGGACACAGGGGGACGGGAGGAGGGAGAGGGTGAGATGTATGGAGAAAATAACATGGAAACTTACAATACCATACGTAAAATAGATAGCCAATGGGAATTTGCTATATGACTCAGGGAACTCAATCAGGGACTGTGTGACAGTCTAGAAGGGTGGGAGGGCAGGGAAGGAAGGGAGCGAGAGGACATAGGTGTACCTATGGCTGATTCTTATTGCTATACAACAGAACACCAAAAATTTCTGTAAAGCAATTATCCTTCAATTAAATAAATAAAGTGGCCAAAAAAAAAAAAAGAAAAGAAAAGTAAATGAACTGAAAATAAAGCAATTGGAAAGGGAAATGGCCTTGTGGAGGATACCATGCAGGATGAGTTAAAGTGAAATCAGGAGTGGCAGAGCCAGTTTGACAGAGGAAATGCAAATAGAATTTTGCAAAAGGAAGTGAAGGGGTGAGAGTGGATAATTCCCCAAGGTTATAAAGACAAATTAAAACTTAAAAGAGCAGTGATAGATTTAATGAAATCAAGATAAAATTTGCTAGTAAAGAAGGTAAACAGCTCTCCATCTCTTCATCATTCTCCTAAATCCTATAAAACTAGCAAAGATTTAAAATATATATACAAGGTCATGCTTTTCAGCACTCTTTTTTCAGAACTATTAATCAGTTCCTTATGTGTGTCTGGGAGGTTCTACCATTCTACATGATTTCTGTGGATGGAAAATTTTTTAAATTTTAGAATTAAAAAAATTTTTTTAATTAAAAAAATTTTTCTTAATTTAAAAATTAAAAAAATTTTTTTTTAAATTTCTAAATCCATCAAGTTCACAAATCTTATGATCCACTACAAGTTTCAGCTAACTGCCTCTTGAAAGAAAATAGATACAATGTTAAGAAACCTAAAATTACAGCCACTGGGCCAGACAAACAACATTCCCCACTCAAGAGAAGTCAATTTCTTTCCATTTCCCAAGAAGCTCTGTAAGATTTCTGTAGTACTGTGTAAATTTGTAGGCATGTTTTGCAGAGACAGTCTAGATATCTTGCCTGAAAACTTATACAAAATGGAATTAATGTAAGCTTGGGGAAGTTTGTGATCACTTGCAAACTGCAAACACAACAAAACATTACAACTAGATAAATAAATGGTAGGAAAATTGTTTTGCTGTCCTTAGATTAGGACTTTTAAGCTTGGGACATTTTTGTGGGAACATGTTGGCTAAAGAAGGTCCAAAAATAATATTACATTTTCTATTTTAAAATTAGCAGTCAAAAAAATACAATTCACCTCTGGAAAGCCAAGCCACTGACAGTGCAACTGTCCCCAAGCCAGCAAGCATGAGGGAGGGAAGTCCTGTCCCTCCGTGGGATGGTTCACTGCTGGAGGATGAGTTCTTCCAAGGTAAGTCTCTGCATTGAATTTCCTTTGGAATTCCCGGTACTAGAGGAAAGCAAATAATGATTACAGTTATAATAAAATGCTCAAGTCCTTGTACTTTATTTTTGAAGTCCTCTTGCTATCCTCACCTGAAGAGGATGTGGGTACATGCTATTAACAGAAATCTTTAAAAAATCTTATATTTAAATATAATGTAAGTAAATATTCTTGGATCAAGGCCTGATAAATCTGTGGAATGGTAATAATGTTTAATATATAAACTCAAGTAACAGGATAAAAGGATATATCTTTAGACATATATTTATTAAGTTTACTATCCTTAATAGACTTTTATTGTTCCTGATTAGGGCCTAAATGCACAGTGATGAAATCTAATTGTTGTTAAACTATTAACCTTGTACAACAGATAACAATAAAGACTAAAACAGATTTCAAAAGTACTATATGGATCTTATTATGTAAGCATCACTCACCTTGACATAGTTTATTTTGTATTAAACTAAACCTGGCCCTATGAAACGTGAAATCTGAAATCATTCACCAGCTTCACCTTGAGGAACTAAAATTCAGTTTGCAAAGGTAATGACATCACCTCAGCCCTATAGTTAGGACAAGTGGTGTGGTCACTGAAAGACCTCCAGCTGGATGTTCAGTCTAGGCACTCCTTTCAGTAAAATGGCTCCTGACAGAGAACTTGCTTCAGAGAAAAGAGACCCAGAGGAAAATTTCTGTTCCAAAACAAAGGTTTTGCTAGTAGAGGAGAGCTATTTTTCATGAAGTAAAGGAAAAAAATGACCGCTCTGAAAATAAAAAGGAGAAGAAGAACAGCAGACTTTTTCACTTCAGAGTTGTGAGTCAAATAGCAGTATTGGGATTCAAGTGTTGAGTGGTTATCTCTAGAGAGAAGGACTCTAGGTGATTTTACCTCTTTTGTTATACTTTCCTGTATTTTCTATTATAACAACATATTTTTGTAGTCAGCAAAAGACTTTAATGAGGAAAAAATACTATAAACAAGTTGAAAGAGAAAACAGAAATCAGAGATTTCATTATAATTTGTTTAAAAGACAGATTTATGAAGGTTTTTTTTTTCTTTTCCTTTTGCCCTGCCTTATATTTTGACATTACTTTTTTTATCTGTGGATGTAGTGAGTAAGTTATTTAGGGACAGGGGAAAACTAATTTTTTTTCATTAAAGCATTAACAGGATGATTCCCTAAAGAACTGCTTAGTTACAGATATTTAATGCTCAGGACTAGTTCTTTTGCTGCCTATGAAAACTTAACAGTACCAACTAACATATAAAATAGGGTAGAGAAAATCCAAGTGGATACCAAAAACTTCTTCAATACCTGTCCTAAAATAATTGGCATATTATAAGTACATCTCACGTACATTCACTCAGATACTGATACACCTCATTTTCTCTGTCATTGAAAAGTTAAAATTACAATTTTTAATGGCAACAGAGTGAAACATTTTATGTAAGTCAGAAGGAAAGAGTCTTAAACAAAAAACTTCTTCAACAGTTTAAATAACTTCCATAGCTTATTTCTCATGGCAGATTTTATTTTTCGATGAATATTTCTTCAAAATGCACATCTACTCATTTATTGTAACATGAATATGATGAAATATATAAGATAGGTCTTAGGGGATCTTGAAACTTTAAGAGATTTTGATTCTGTTTAAATTCTACCAGGTTTTTATTGAGGAAAAGATGTCAAATATGATTCAATAAACAATTCAAGGAAGTACCAACCTGGTGAAAATACCCTGTGACTTATCTGAGGTCACAGAGACAGTGGTCCTAGTAAACACTAGCCCTGGGTCTTGGGTTGGCCTAGGTCCTTGGAATTATAGGGAGGTCACTGGGCCTGACTTACATACCGCTCTCTGACCTTGCTACTGAGAGAAAAGTAAACATTGTCTGACAACAGCAACTTCACATCCTTGTAACATAATGAGCTCATAGTGAAATCATCTTTAGTTCATTAAAAGAAAAAATGAAAAGTGAACTTTTGTGGCACAGCGGTTGCATGTATGGACTCAGGAGACAGGCTGCCTGGATTCGCTTACTAGCTGTATATGCTGGGCAACTTACTTAATTTCTTCATTCCTCAGTTTCCTCATTTATAAAATGAGAATAGTAACTACTAAACTTGCAAGATTATGTGAGGATTTAATAAGTTAATCTCTTTAGTGCTTAGAACTGTACCTGACAGACACATATAAATATCTATTGGGTCATATTTTTTTCAGGGCAAGCAATCTACCATTAGTATATCATTTGATAGTATTTCATAGAACTTAAATTTTTACATATTGCTTAAATTCATCCAATTATATGTATGTTTATAAATTGGGTGCCAAACTTTTGGCAGTAATGTACAGATAAGTACAACTCACATATTATTTATAGACTTTCATTTCTTTTACAATCCCCTGAGGTAAACACAGTTGGAAACATTATAGCTATCTAGTGACACAAAAGTTGCATTAAAAGAAATCATGATTACAATCCTTGTTAGGTGAAAAAAAAGTAGCTTAATGTTTTGAAGGCATTATGGAAGGTAAACTTTGAAAAAGTATGAAAAAGAAACTTCCATTGCAGCCTTGTAAGAGTCAAACTATCTTAAAGACATAATCAGTTAATGTCATAACATTTAGGATGATATGATCTAAAAATTATAAGTGATTATGCTTCTTCAATAAGGGCCTTCAACAATTCAAAATATTATTAGACTGTAAAATCTTTTACAAAAAAAAAAATGACATATATTCTCCTTTTAGTTTTAGATGATTTGGATAGCAAACTGGCTCAGGAACAATCTCCAAGCTCAGTGAATACCAGAACACCTCTCAACATTGGATCAAGGACACAGTTCAGTCGTTTTTACTCCAGTGGGAGCAAATACAATCATATCACAGGAAGGCACAAAAATTGCTATAATGAAACTTCTAATATGTCTATCTATGATGTCTTAAGACCAGGAACCCCTAGGGAAGGTTTCAAAACCTTTTCTCCTAGAACAAGGACAATCTATGATATGTATAGGACAAGGGAACCCAGAGTTTTAAAAGAAGATTATGTGCAAAAGAACACTTTTGGTAGTACTTCTCTGTGTTTCGACAGCAGGCAACAATCAGCCTCATCAGCTACAGGATATTTCAAAGCAAGAAGCTTATATTTTCCAGCCACAACTCAGAATAAGACTGGGTTTATATCACCAAGCCACCAACAGAGCCCAAAGAGAACTCCTTTATCATCTATCATATGGAATAGATCAGATTCTTCTAGAGATAGGCAGAACCAGGAAGAATTCCTGGAGGCACCATCACCAATGGAAATTGACCCTGCTGACCAGTATATGTATCCCAGGTGTTTCCAGGAGAATAGGAGATATGAATTTTACCATTCACAGAGTGTTTACCAAAGTGTTGGCTTAAATGTTCCCATAGATAATGCAATGAATCCTGACCCATTTGAGAACTCAGAAAATATGCCATTCTACCATGAAGATAACCCATTTACTGGGTCTTTCTTTAGCAATACCTTTGGACGGAGCAGGGGACAGAGATTTGGACAAAATCCTTTTTGGGGCCAACAGGAAGAACATTCTTCTTCTGGCTTTCATCAAAGCAGGAAACCATTTACTTCTTCTGACAGAGACTTTGAAATGATCTCCACTGAAGTAAACAGTGCACTAGCTGGGCATGGCCATAGTGTTCCTTCTCATCTCTGGGGGTCATTTTCTCCTGGTTACAGAACAAATATTTCCAGAAACCAACAGATACCACACCCCTGGCAGCTTGATTCTCAGACATCCACACTGGAGAGCATGGAGGTGTCACAAGGTAATGGGAACCAGTCTACTCATTTCAGCCCAGCCAATGTATGTTCCATGACTGGTGCAAGCTATCACATGAAATCTGGTGGGTTAGAATGTTCTCCTATGGAAGTACATGTAAACAAAGAACCTTACTCATTTGGAATTGCTCAAACTCTAGCATCCCCGTTCAGAAGTACCTTCCTGCATATTCCTGATGACAGAGGGAATTCTCAGAGTCCTAACTTTCAGATTCCCACAGTCACTTTGCAGAAAGTTAAGCCGGCCTCTCTTCCAATCAGAAACTATACAGAAGTCACTGTGACCAACAATGTTTCAGTTGATTCTCTGCCTCCGACTGAAAGCCAAGCCAATGTCTTGGTCACAGAAGTAAGTAATGAGAAAGACTTGAAGGCATCTGTTTTGGAAAAAGACAAAAAAATAAACAAGATAGACCAGCCAAACATGACAGGTGAAATACCCCAACTTGTTTCACAGACAATAATTTCTAACCCTTTACCTGATGTTCAAAATCCCCTTTCCCAGGACTCAGACAAGAGCAACAGATTTGTTTTTAGTGCATCTACCACAGTAAGTTCAAAAAGGTTGCCTGGAGTCATTTCCAGGAGAGATACCTCCAAAATTCATAAAGCCAATGAACTGAAAAAAGCTAAGAGTTATACTGGGAACAGAAAACTTGACTCAGCAACTTCCCTTCCTTTCATTCAGGAAAGCAGAACAACATCACTTTTTCTCAGCCCAAATCAAGTTTGTCACCAGGAGTTAACAGTAAGTAATGAAAATATTTCAAGCATTGTTAAAAATAACCACGGGAGTTCTGAACATACTGATAATCAACGCCCACAGTCTCCAGAAAAGCTTGCTCCTTTAGATACCAAGGGAGAACAATGTATCACGACTTATTCTAGCAACTGCAGCAAGTCAGATGCTGATCAAAACATGCCCCATAATTCTTTAGATCTGTCTTCAGCAGCACTACCAGATTCCTCACCATCAAATGATTCTGGCCTTGATGCTCTGGTAATTCCTTCTACCACAGTGTTCTGGAAATGTGCTTCAAGTAAAGATCCATCTCTGGGAGAAAGAGAAGACAATGGTTACATGAACCAAAATAGTCAGTTTTCCCTAAGTCACTTAGAAAACCAAACGAGTAATGATAATGGTGCACCTGTACATAATGAAGAGGTTAATGTTGTCAAATGCCCGTCACAACCTCTTTTCAAGGGTGGAAAGGGAAAAGGAAAAATAAGACAACGCATATCCTACATCGAAACAAGCAAAACAGAAAGTAGATCAGTGCCTACAAGTGAAAGCAACACTCTCACTGAGGGAACTCAGAGCAATTCCAGGTCTCCTGAGCGTCATGAGATTTATTGTACTTTACCGAGAAAATCAGCCGTTTTTCTCATTGGTAACAGGAAGCCTGAAAGTACGACTATGCCTTCTTTGTTTAGGAACGAGCCAGTTGCATTACCAATCAAAAATGATGTGGAAGATCCAATAGGAAAGTACACATCAAAAAAATCCAGTCCCAGTCCTTGTGAATCAGAGAGCGAATGTTCCAAAGTCGTTTCGGACTCAGTCTCAGTAGCACTTGAAGCCACAGAAGGGATGACAAAGAAGATGAACATTGGATCTGCTTCTGTTAGAAAGGGGCCACTTCCAGTCCTCATCAAGAGGGCTGTGTCATGTCCTTCAGAAGTGCTTTATGCCTCACCTGGAAGAGATGAAAGAGAAAAATGCTTGATTTCTGATACAGATACTTCTACTATAACACTGAGGCCTTGGGAGAGACTCATTAACCCTCTGGGAAGTGACTCGTCTGTTTGTGAATGTTCTTTAAGCAAGAAACACCACCAGGAGGAATACATACAAGAATGTACTGAAAAGAATGGTAAAATTTCTGCCTCCAAGACAGGCATATTTTCCCATCCAAATGAACACCCTTTACCTTTTTCTTCAGATATGTCAGGACAAGAAACTGGGAAAACTTTACATAAATTTAAGACTACGAGTATGTTTTCTGTTTCTGGTGATGAAGATAATGTGAAGTGTCTTGAGGTGGTTTCAATATATTATACTCTACCAAGGAAGCACAGCAAAAAATTCTGTGACCTTCTTCAAAAGTATACACAAGACATCGATTCACTTACAGAATCAACTAAAGTGGGGATTAAAACATCTAATGCTTTAGAAAAAGACCAACTGAATTGTCCTGCGCAAGGCCAGTCAGGAACACCTTTGTCTAAAGATACCTCTGCTCAGGAGACCAGCCATCCTTCTCACATCACTGAAAATATGACTGTTTTACAATTACCAAGTGTTGAGTCCTCAGAATCTACATTACAGGAAATGGCTTCTATTGAAGCAGATGTTTCTCTTCATAAACAAGAACCTAAAACTGGAGAAATTTCCCCATACAACTTGGCTAAAACACCTCCACCTGATTCACAAAGCAGGAAAGAGAATGAGAAAAAATTGCAAAGTGAAACTGTGTTTACTTCACCAACGCTTCAGGAAAAAAAAGTTACAAGGGAGAAATCTGAAACTTGTCCACAATCCATTAAATCAGATGACAGTGGTTTTTCTAACCTCCCAGCCCATTCAGAAGAGAATGTTGAAAACTCCCACATCATAAGAAGTTCTGGGGAGCATACAGGTAGTGATACAGCCATTACAGCTACTGGAAGTCTTCAAAAAGATATCGCAGGCACAGCTACAGAGGAGAGCTCCAATGGATTGCAGCCTAGGATAGTCAGAGGGGAAATTAGAGAAGATTTCCCCCCAAACTCTGAGAAACCACTTTCTGACTCAGAAAGCCAAGTCTTTGCTCTTACTCCAGCCTTGAGTAAACTACAGCTTGATGAGACTTGTTCAAGTGAACAAGATTTAGACAGTTCACAGTCTGAACCCAGAGAACTACTTAAAAGAAGACAGGAGGTAAATACAACGCAGAGCAAGGCTAAAGATGAAATGCAGAAGTTGGCATGGAATCAACGTTCACTTCCTGAAGGAAGTAATAAAAGTAAAAAAAGCTTGGCTGACCTAGAAAAAGGGAAAAGCAGATCTCCAGTTAAAAACGGATTGGCAGTTATGTCCAAAGTCAGCAGAAAATTTCCAGCTAAAGATTTATACCCTAGAAGACATGTAGCTACTATCTTTCCCCAAAGTGGGAACAGTTCTGGCTTTAGCAGTTTCTCCCTTGGCACACCAGAATGCAACCCACTGTCCCTTGAGCCTCCTTTAAAGTCCACAGGAACCACAGATGAGAGCAGGTTAAGTAATGATGGCATAAATGTGGAGAAATCCGAGAACCCTCTCCAGCTTACTGCAATATCCAATAGAGAAGCTTGTACATCCTTAAGCAATCACAAGTCCAACAACATTTCGCAACCACATCAAAACGAGTTTGAAAATATCTCAGAATCACAACCAAAGTGTGAGAACTCTGAGGATGTAACAGTAGCTCCGATTTTGGAAAGAGAATCAGGAGCCCTGGCCCAACCCACGTTGATCAGCCTCAGGGAAGCAGACTTCCCTGACCATCAGAGGAAGTTGAAACCCCCTTTTCAACTCGAGCCTGTGGAGAAATCTACGGTGTGTGTCCCACTGACCAGTTGTCAGCAAGGACAAAGCAGTGCTTCATTTCTGGAGTGTGAAAGTCAGCCACACCCCTATCGTTCAGAGAGCTTAAAAAGCGTCAATGTACATGGTGATATACTACGAATAAGTCATCCTCCAAAAGTCAGAGAGCGCCATTTTTCTGAAAGCACTTCTATTGATGATGTCCTGAGTAGACTGACCCTTGGGAATGAATTCTCTAACAACAGCGGGTACAGTCGAAGATTTAAATCTTTTTCTGAACTTCCCTCCTGTGGTGAAAATGAAAGTTGGGCTCTGAACAACAGCAGGACAAAAATGGGCCCTAGGTCCGCAACATCTATATCCAGGCCTATTGACTATGGGATTTTTGGGAAAGAACAACAGCTGGCTTTCTTGGAGAATGTAAAGAGGTCACTCACACAAGGGAGATTATGGAAACCAAGTTTTCTTAAGAACCCTGGCTTCCTGAAAGATGATGTAATTAACCCTGCTAACCCAACAGAGTCATCGACTTCAAATTCTCCTAGTAACCAGAGGCCAGAGGATGGCTTATCTCTAAGCGCGCCACTTAATATCTATGAAGAGGATCCAGTGGACTCAGATTGTGACACAGACACGACCACGGATGACGAATACTACTTGGATGAAAATGACAAAGAGTCAGAACTGTGAGCCTTTTTCAATGAAATGTATAACCTTTTCACCAAAAGTTTATAATGTAAATAAAGTGTAAATATGTATGTCTATGGAAAGGACAGATACTAAAAAAATCTAGTCTGGGCAATAGCTGCTGTGAAACAATCCAAATTCACTTCCCCTCCTCCCACCCCATGTATAGACATCCTGAATCCTAGAGCAGTAAATTCTTGTTTAGTGTTTTCTTCCTCTGTATATATGCTTGGTCTTCTGCCACTCAGCCCCAAATTAATCTCTTAATTCACGATCCAGTTTTGTCTGTCTGCTCTACATCCCCCTAACTTTCTTTCACCTTTCCAATCCCAGCACAACAGCAAATCTCTATATTGCATCTTCCAGTCCACACTCCATATTCATGATTGTTAAATAAAATGTAGGGATGATAACAATGGAGTAAGTATTACTATCCTGTTTGACTCATCAACCTTTAGAAGATTTAGAGTTTGGTTTTTTTTTTTTTTTTTCTTGAACAAAGATCAGGGGATTTCCATAAGGAAATCCTGTTTTATCCATAGTGGAGAAGGGAGGCACATATTTGAAGTGCTTATTGTTAAGAAGTGAATCTCTAGTAAGCCAAAGAACATTGTTGTTGTTCAGTCGTGTCCAGCTCTTTGCGACCACATGGACTGTAGCATGTCAGAATTCCCTGTCCTTCACTATCTCCTGGAGTTTGCCCAAACTCATGTCCACTGAATCAGTGATTCTATCCAACCATCTCATCCTCTGTCACCCCCTTCCCCTCTTGCCCTCAATCTTTCCTAGCATCAGGGTCTTTTCCAATGAGTCAGTTCTTCACATCAGGTGACCAAAGTATTGGAGCTTCAGCTTCAGCATCAGTCCTTCCAGTGAACATTCAGGGTTGGTTTTCTTTAGGATTGACTGGTTTGATCTTCTTGCAGTCCAAGGAACCCTCAAGAGTCTTCTCCAGCACCACAATTTGAAAGCATCAGTTCTTTGGCATTCAGCCTTCTTTATGGTCCAACTCTCACATCCGTATATGGCTACTGGAAAAACCATAGCTTTGACTATGCAGACCATTGGCAAAGGAATTCATTTGAAATAGTTTCTAGGATGGTACAGAGGGTGGCTTAGCCACAGAATTTCTGCTCAGGAAGGGAACATATCTGTGGGGTGGAGATAAGCAGACATCCCTTCATGAGATTGACATCCTTAATGCAGCTCTTTCAGCAACTGTTTTGTCTTGTTTTTCTTGTTGTTGATTTGTTTCTGCTTTTCCCCATTTCCACAGAACCATCCATGTAAAAGTTTTCTTTATTTGCAGGATAGAAAGCTTTTTTCCATGTGAGACATTTTAGTCACAAGCGATAGCCTTGGTCAAGTCCCTAAAGTACTATCATGTTAGATCTGACACCTTGAGGCTCACAGCCTTCTTTGGCAGATTTTCCAAACCCTTAGAAGTTAGAAGGCAGAGCTTCTAAAGGCTTGTCACAATGATTCCTTCAATAATTTTATCAAGACTAAATAGCTTGTCATACCCACTGATAACTTGGCTTTCCTAACTCTTTAATTTGCCATGCAGAACTTCTGGAGATTTCTCTTGTGTTCTTGCCTGGAGAATCCCAGGGACGGGGGAGCCTGGTGGGCTGCCGTCTATAGGGCCACACAGTGTTGGACACGACTGAAGCAACTTAGCAGCAGCAGCAGCGATCAGGAAGACCAATGAACAGGCAGCTGCGAAGCTAACCTGATAGAACTACAGAAAACATACCATCATGGTTCTTAGTATTGTGGGGGTCAACATGAATGGATTGTATCTTGTTGGGTCTATATTTGCTTCCTGGCCTAATTTTGTTTTCATTTTTCTCACCTGGTCTGTTTCATCCATAGAAGTTAAGGATAATGATAGGAGTTGGGAAAATGTACTGAGATCTGGAACTGATAGAAATGCAAGAAAGGACCACATTGTTATTATCCTCGCAAATATGGCCTTGTCTAGAAGCTAAATGCCAGAGCTAGTTTACATTTTCCCCATGAAACTCAAAACTGATGAAAATGAGGTAACTACATGAAAGCTATTTCTTAAACCTATAAATTGTCTTAAACTTCAAGTTCTGACCAGTTCTGACCAATTCTCAAAAAGACTGGCAGTAGAATTTTAAATGAACTGTTCTAAATATTTCCATTTAAATTTGTATGGTAACGCATAGGTAACATTTTATTTTTTGTTCATGTATGTTTGTAAATCCTACCTTCCTTTTTCTATTTATCTGATTATTTAATTAAAACTTCATAAATCCTAACCTATGTTTTCTATTTTAAAATATTAAAAGTTAATATTTTAATATTAAGATTCTTGGTTTTTCAAATGATCAGCTTGCAAGTTCTATTTCGGTAAACACTCTGAGCCTACGTATATGTTACAAAAGGTGAAATGAAGTTAGCTTATTTTTCACTGAATTTAGCCTTTATCAGAGGTTAGGTAAGTTAAGATCAGGCTAAACAACTACTTTCGGGCCCTGATTCTCTGTACTAGAATCTAACACCTGAATTTAAAGGTAATTGATGGCCAGTGCTCACTTGCACCGTTTGTAATATTTGCTTGTTCGTGTGGCTCAAGAATCAAGAAAACAGAAAATTTATGAAAATAGCACCTTCCATAAAGTTTTATACCTTTATAAAACACTTCATTAAAGAAGTATAGCAAATATCTATGTATTTTAACATAAAAAGTGCTGCTTTTTTAATATTCATTTTTGGTATAGCTATAGTAATTTATACTAGTCATTTTTTATACTCAACTTGCTTTCTAATATATAATCATCATTAAAGTAAATATTCATATAAATGAAGTCAGTAATGAGGGAATCAATATGAATAATTACCTGGTAAATTACTAGTTCATTTAAATAATAGACTTATACAACCATAAATTTTATGTGTAAACTCCATTTAAAGTAAGACTCAATGAGATTAATATTCAGAGACTTCCCTCTAAATAATTTACACCCTAACATTGTCAATACATTGCTATTAATAAAACTCCAACAGCTACTAATAAGGTTTTGGCTGATGATAAGTTAATAAAAACTACTTTGTATAGGAAGTACATGGGTGCCTATGCCTGTCCTAGGGTTGATGAAAGTCCACTTAAGTTTATGGTGAAGATAGGTATCAAATTGGAAAATCCACACCTATATAAAAGTTATATAGTCCATTGAATGCCAGAAGGTTAAAGAGGCCTTATTGCTAAGAGTTTATTGTTAGTAATAGTAATAATACTTCAGAATATCCAATTTAAATGTATAGTGTAAATATGTGAATATTTTACTTTGAGGCTCTTTGTGACTGGCATTTCTGTGTTTCTGAAACATATAATAAGCCTTAAGCACTATTGTTTAAAATGTTGTCAAATAATCCTTTTATGTACTTGCTATCAAACTTCTTCTCCGGGTATGCAATATGTTACAAGACAAGGTGCAAAATTAAAACAATGCTGGTGTTGAAATAAATGATTTAAATGGATTCATCGTTTGACTTTGCTTTTATTCCCATTCTCAAATGATTGTTTTTAAGTGTGAAAGTTTCCGGAAAAATATAAAAAGGGGAGTGGGATGGACAAAAGTATTCCAACAAATTTTTCTGGTGGATATTGAATAAGATCACCCATTTAAGTGGTTTTAGAAAATGACTCCTCTCTTCTTCCATTTGTACCAAAAGGCAATCAACCAACAAATGGAGGTCAGTGTACCTGGCTGCATAAGCTGCATAAGAGAGAAGCAATGAGGCGGGTCTGGCATTTTTCTCTAAGAGTTGTCATATTTGTCAAGGAAGAGGAAGCCCAGTGGTGTTGGGTCATCTACTTCCCAGTAGTACTTAAGATAAGTGGAAATATACGCAGATCTTTCCAGTTGAAATGTTAGACATGCATTGAAATGTTAATGTTGAAATGTTAATTCCTGCTAAACAAATGAGTAGATTTGTATTAATCTTTACCTGTTCTAGAAAAGGAACCCAAAGTCATCTCTCTACCAAGGACAAGAGAGTGTTATCAGCTTGAATATGAGCAGTATTTTATTCAAAATATTTTTACTGTCCTTTATTAAAATTTAAAATGCATTAGATCAGCTAGGGTTTTTAGTTGTAGACAATATAATCCTTTTCCAACCTGGAATGGCCTTCTCCCCTTCTTTTTGCAGCAGATTCTTATCTGACCTTCATGATAAAAATAGATTAACATAGATGACCATCTTCATGATCAGCAGGGATGTCATCTCTTTCAAAAAGCATCTCTCAAGGTTGGGTTAACTGGACCTCATACAGTGGTATGAGTATGAGGCTACCTCATACAGATTGGTAGAGGCAATCTCCCAAGGGCCCTGGACATACCTGAACATTTGTTGCTGGGTATGCCAAGCATGTAAGTTCTTGACCATTATTTACTCATGCCATTTTTCAGGGTGTGTACGTACCCATCAAACACAAGAGGGATGAGATAACATCTCCTCACTGACAAAGGGCAGACTTAATTACCTCTACCCTAAAAATGGTAAGCCCTTAAACTTAGAGTGTATCTCTTGTAATGCAAGTCACTTCAGGCATCTATGATAGGCATTTTGCATTGTCCCTATAGGACCTTTGTGGGTGGCTGGGGGCGGCGGGGTGGGGGGCTGGCTATGGGAAGGTAGTGGGAGAGGTATTTGTTTGCTAGGGTTGCCATAGCAAAATTTCACAAACTGATTGGCTTAGATAAAATAATTTATTTTCTCACAGTTTTGGAGGCTAGAAGTCCACGATCAATATGTTGACAAATTTGATTTCTCCTGACCCCTCTCTCCTTGGACTGCAGATGGCTACCTTCTCACGGCATCCTCACATGGTCTTTCTTCTGTACACAAGCATTCCTGGTGTCTGTGTGCCCAAATTTCCTCTTCTTAGAACAGCAGTTAGATTGGTTTAGGGCCCACTTATCTCCAAATACAGTAATATTTTGAGGTACTGGGGTTAGCATCTTTATATGAAATATGCTGTTGTTGTTTAGTTGCTAAATTGTGTCCAGCTCTTGCAATCCCAAGGACTGTGGCCCACCAGGCTCCTCTGTCCATGGGATTCTCCAGGCAAGAATACTGGAGTGGGTTGCCATTTCCTTCTCTAGGAGATCTTCCCAACCAGGGATCAAACCTGTGTCTCCTGCATTGACAGGCAGTTTTTTTTTTTTTTTTTTTTCTTTTTACCACTGAGCCACCAGGGAAGCTCACATAGGAAAATCCTAGACACTATACAGTCCTTGACATCCAAGGATTTTAGCACCTGTAACACTATTTACATTGCCTCTTTGTCCATTGCCTCTTTGTGCAGTGAACCACAGGAGCTGTGACATCAAAGTATGATGTCTATAACATAGTAGGCATTGAATAAATGTTTGTTGAGTGAGTGAAATTTGATTTATTATAAAGAATCTAGTCAAGGCATTGGATGATGTGAATATACTTTTTAAGATATGAGACGATGAGAAAGAAAACAGGTTGGTAGGGATACAATACAGCTAAACAAGTGTTCAGATACAATTATATGACTTCTCTGGTCTGTTCTCAAAAATACCAGGTGTTATCATGTGTTATAGAATTTATTAAGCCATATTTTATTATCATCCAGTACCAGCTAACTCTCAGATTATTTCTCTGGAAAAAAAA